TAATTTTTTTAAGGTATTATTTTCACAAAATTCTATCCAGCCCAACCCAACCCAAATTTTTCTATAGACCAATCCAATTTTTCAGCCCAACCCATAAAACAAAATCATTCCATCTAAAAATCTAATCTAAATGTTATACGAATTACCTCCCACTTAACAAGAGGCACTTTTGTACATCGTATAAGGGCCGTAAAGCCCAAAAGGAATAAATGTAATAAATACAATAAAATATGATTCAAATATGATTCACATCAACTTGTAAAGTGTTTGAGTATATTCAAGAACATTGCCCAAAAGTGAGTTCTTGGGCAGAAGTTCATAGTGTATATAGACACTAATTTCCATGTTTTGAATTTGTGTTCAATTCACTTTTGATATAACGAGTATTCTTTGTCAAGACCTTCAAACAATTATTGGATATATTGATAGCAATAAGACATGTTTCTACTACACAACTCATTCTTGGGGAAGTGACATAAAATGGATGTGAAGGCTTTCTTGAAGAAGCAAAGGAGTTTTGCTCAAAAAAGAAATTCTTGTACCGAAATTGAATTCTAAATGTATGGGTGGTCATTGCCGAAAAGAAACTACAGTTGAGCATTCATTATCACTTTGATGTTTTCAATGAGGCAATAAACTTTGTATTGTTGAAGTTAAGGACTCGGTTTAATGATAAATCAATGGATTAAACTCCTTTCTTTGAGTGCTTCATTGGATCCCGAAAGTTCATATGTGTCATTCAATGCCGATGCTATTTGTAATCTCTTGCAAGGAAGTTCTATCCCGAAGGTTTTAGTAATGCTTTTGAATTGGAGCGACAACACTATGCTCATGATGTGATTCATGATACAAAGTTTCGAGTATCTACACTTGTTGAATTATGTGAGCAGTTGACTAAGAGCAAAAGATCTGTTTCATATGTTATGATCAGCATATTGATTCGCTTTGTATTGATCTTATTGTTTTCACTACAACAATAGAATGATCATTTTCTGCCGTGAAACTTTTAAAGACAACACTCCGCGACAAAATGGATGATGACTTTTTTGTTAATTGCAATACACTTTATATTGAAAAAGGTCATACTCTTAGTATAGATGTAGACTCTATAATTGACGAGTTTTTTTGTTTCAAAGCTTCGTCGAGAACAAATTTAGTGGAGAACTCTTATATATTTTTTTTGCTTATTTTGAAAATTTTTAATGTATTATCAATTAAGTTTTTCAGCCCAGTCCAACATGAAATCCTGGATCCGCCCCTGAGGACGAGCCAGTTTACTTTGGCCGGTAGAATCAAATTTACATACACGCATTGTGGTTCTTTTTGTTCGGGGGCATGGGCAGGGGCGGACCTATTATAGGTCAAAGGTGTTCATGTGAACACCCAAATTTTATAACTAGTAGTGTAAAAATACATGTATATGGGTATTATTGTAAAATTTTCTATATGTATATGAACATCCAAATTTTATAAAATAAATTTGAACCTTCAAAACTAACATCCAAGATCCGCCACTGGGCATGGGAAATCCAAAGTTTCACCGTTTTGCATAAGCTCAAAGGCGGCCCATTGGGGTAGTAGAAACACAGGCCCAGAATAATAAATTCAAAATTTGGCCCAGAAAGTTTTTATATATACTCCCTCCTCATGAAGTATGAGCGCTCATTTTTTGTCCCTTCAGGCAAATGCACGAGTATGCATTAATAATATGGATTTGTTTGGTCCAATTATTTGAAAATATACTTTTTCTATGGTTAATTTTTGGTAACTAATACCTTTTCGTGATTGAATAGATCTTATATGAAAATGATTTTAGCTGTTTATAATAAGAATTAACAATATGATTTAATCATGTTTGGTATATCATCAATCTGCTGAGACTAATTCATACTAAAAACTACGAATTTTCTCTCAGAAATTATTTAGTGTAGTTGTATTTCTAAGAAATCTCTTAATCATCGTTGGGCGGCTAAATGATAGGATTGATGGGTTTTAAAATAAATACAGGATCTTTTGGTGAGGCTACACTAGGCAGTCTTTAGAGAAAATTAGTACCCAGTAGCTTTTAGTACTCCGTATATATTAATTGGTCTCAACGGACGGTAACATTTTCAATATAAGATTGTCATTTTTTTGACATTTTTCTGACATCAATATATTAATTTTTTGGATATAGGAATAATATGACATTATTTACTCTCATGTCAAAGTCAATATTGCCAAAATAATTATAGTATTATAATTATAGTATTATATTGCCAAAATTTATGTACTCATATTTAAGAAAATTTTCCTATAACAATCTGTTGAGACCAGTTAATACTAAAAGCTACAAACTTTCTTCTCATAAACAACCCGTTGTATCTGCACAAAATAATCTTGTACTAATACAAAATCTCTTAAACATTGTTTTACGGGTAAATGATCGGATTGATCGGTCATAGAGTAAATGTATTTTTTTAGTATGAGCTTAGGAAAGCTAGACTTGTGGTCCTGGCGGAGCCAGGCACTGGACCGATACAAAGAATATTTTTAGAAAAAAATTTACACGAATTTTTTTACCTTAAAAATTAACCCATTTTTAAAATTTGGGGTGGGCCATGGCCTAGGTTGGCCCACCCCTAGCTCCGCACATGCTTGTGGATTTAAAATACTCAGAGTCGATTATACCATTTCTAGTTATTTAATATAATATGAAACACTATTATGTTTAGTCACTTTAATTTCTCAGCAAAGATGAATATTTTGGTAGTGACATTGATGATATATTTTCCCATTCTTCCATAGTAAAATTTTAATATTACTCAGATAAAATAATAGCTTTAGTCATAATGATTTATATTTAATTTTTACAGTTAAATGAGTAATACGTACTTATTATGAAAATAATTTTGTTTGAGTAATATATACTCCGTACCTTTTAAAAACCCTCTATGATTTTTTTTTTGAAAGGACAAAACCCTCTATGATTTAATCAGATAAATTAATCATATATTCGATCATATATACTCACGTATATATAGATCTGGATGTTTATTTAATTATTTTATATGCAAACGAAAAATATCAACTTTAACAGAAACGTAAGCAAAAGTGAGTAATCATGGACTGTAAATGAAAAATGGAATCCAACCATGTAGCTAAATGTAGAGGTAAGCCAGAGCTGAACGGTACGCTAAAGAATGTCCAAACTTGGAATGTCAAGTGGTTTAGCAGACTCAATATCAGAAGTTCAGAACAATGAATCTCGTGGTCCCTAACCAAATCAAAACACGCCATAATAACATTTAACAAACGGCTATCAAATTTGTTTGTATTCATTCTTATCTAGTATGGAGTATTTTTAGAAAATAGCTGTGTTAACGTTAATAACGTTAACAAGCTGTTTACTCATAATTCATCAAATCATGGTCCAAATTCCTAGCATTAATAAAGGAGCAAAAGAATTCAAGAATAACTATTACACAAAGCTGTTTTCCATGAATATTATTTAATTAAATTCAAAAAATGAAACTATAACTTATTTTAAAACTTTCAAAAAAGTGACATATTCAGTGACTATTTCGTAGTGATTCGTCATCTTCGAGTGACTTGCCACTCCAAAATACATTATAGTGGCTCTTGTCAATCCAGTTACTCATATACAATGATTAGTTATATTTTTATCCAAAAACAAATATCGATCATACACTCCCTCCGTCCCCGAAAGAAGTTCTTCATTTGACTTTCACACACTTTTATGCAAATAAACTTACCAGGAGTAAATTTTACTGTTTTGACACTGTTTTGCACTGTTTGACATTGTTTTGATATAGATACATTTCTATTTAAGGAAATGAGAACTTAAATTAGGAACATCCAAATAAGAAAAAGGAGGAAGTATATTTTTGTCCGTGAAAATTCTGTTACTAATATAGTACTCCGTTTGTGTCATTTTTTCATTAGACAAAAAAAAGACGCTCATGCAAAAGAATGAGAAAATAGCACACAAGTAAAATTATCGCACATAACTCGAATATGTTAGGTTGTGCTCATAGACCAAAATAATTTACGCTAGTTCCCTTCACGAACTCGTTATTGGGTTCAATTTCATAGCTGATTGAATATATATAGCCACAAAAAAGATCAGGTCCAGCCCTCCCCGGTCCAGCTGCCGTCCGAACTCCGCCGTTTGGGGCGGTTTCCGGTGGAATTTTTTGCTGAAAATTTTTGAGCATGTTCTTCATCAAGTCTAGTTTGTCCATACCAAATTTCAGCTCAAAATTCGACCGGGAAGGCAGTCTAATCATTTTTTGAAAATGATTACCCTTGTTTTTTCTATTTTTTATCCTCTTTTTCACTACAAAAAAACGCGTGTAGTCACGGACCGTAGTCACGGATTTGGTCCGTGACTAGTTTGTCACGGTCGTAGTCACGGACTAGACACGGACTTTCAAAAAAAACATAGTCACGGACAAAGCCGTGACTACATCCGTGACTAAACTTAGTCACGGTCCGATCCGTGACTAAAATCCTCCGATAGCCCCGATTGCGTTTCCGGCGTGCCTTATTTTATTCCGGCGATGTAGTCACGGACAAATCCGTGACTACGCCCGTGTTTTTTTGTAGTGTTTCCTACTTTTGGTTGTACTTAATTATTTGGATACAATTTGTTTATTTATTATTATATTTGAAGACTAAAACAAGTTGAATTACATGCTAAAAAGTAATTACAAAATTAGAGAGATAATCTTATTTGAAAAAACATATATTCCAAGTATTCTTTAGCTAGAGCCTTTTCTTTATCAAAAAGCCCCCGGTTTTGTGAGAGCACAAAGGTAATTTTTCTTACTTAATTATAACCGGTGTCATTGAAATATTATTATTTCTTTATCTTTTTTTGGTCAGTTTGTTGTGTACTCCGTAGTTTACTTCCTTTACTCTTCATACTCCACAAGCAATGTACGGAGTATATCTCAACAAACCCTTTCACAGTCCTCCTTATAAATATGCGCTTATGCAGTGAGCTTTACACGCCTTGTCTTTCCCTAGCCTAAAGCCTTGTCTTTCCCTAGCCTCTACCTCTCTGTGAGTTAATTAGTAAGTGTCTATACAAATCAAACCCCAAATACACAAAACCTCAAATCTTTGAAAGAAAAAAGTAAAACTGAGAAATAAAAACACTCTTTCAATTTGAAGATAAAGCAATGCCTCTTCGTGATCTTCCAGTGCAACTCAGGAACTTCATCATTTATATAATAGTGCTGGTAAGTGTTATATTGTTTAGTTGAATCCTTTTATACCAGGTCACTGGCTACAATTCTCCATATTCAATTACAGGTGCGATTGATTACACAAAGATCGTTTCGCTCGTTTCAGGGTGAACCACTACCTCAAACTCGAGTTACTTCAGTAAGTATTTTAACAATTTCAATTTCTTTTCATTTTTATAAAAACATGTCTTTATAACTGTCTAGCCAAGATAAACGTTTTTATTTTCATCTAGTACTCCGTATAAGTTACTCATAAATTAGCCTTTTTTTTAATACGAAATATCAAATAATTTTCATTTGGCTTACAAAGTTCTTGATTACATTAGTATGGCCTCGCTCTCTTTAATTTGTTCAGTATATAAATAGGCCGCCCTTTAATTTGACTCGACAATTATTAAGAAAAACTATTTTTTGCAGTTATAATTACATTTATACATATTTGTAAATATATATATATATAGATTTTTTTTTTATTGTATGTGCTCCGATGCATAGAAAAAATTGCACGGAGTATAAGAAATTAAAGAGAGTAAAGTGAGTGTAAAACCTTGGGGGTGGGGGATTGTCAGCCCTATTCACCCTGCTGAAGGAGAGCATGTAGACGTGGATGAGCAGCCCCAAGAGAATTATTGACCACCAATGAAAAAAATTGAATGGGCCCATGGGGAAAAGTCATACTCGGTGTCTTTTTTTATGAACTATAATTCCTTAATTCGGGTAACTTTTTTATTTGTACGTTTTTATAAAAAATATTTTCAAATTTTATATCAATTTTTTAGTTTCCAGTTCAATCACTGCATGCTTACCAACAAATAAAATTCTCGATCAAGTTGAAAAAGCACAAAGTGAAAATCGAACATTATGGTTGTCTAATGTCTATCTTGATCAAGTGGTATAACGGTTTTAAGTTGCCTGTATAAAATGATTAAAAGTAATAATAAAGAGAGATATTACTCAAAATGAGACTAAAAAATTTTGGAAATTCCAAAATAGAACTTCCATGTTTTTATTCCCAAAATAGGACTAATTACTGTCATGTTTTGACAGTACCAGTCTTCAAACATGATTGTATTTTCCAAATTTGGCACTAATTAGTCTTATTTTAGGAATAAAAAAATGACAGTCCTATTTTGGAATTTTTTGGAAATTTCCCTAACAAAAAATGCATATATGGTCCCGACCTAGCTGGATGTGAATCGTAACAAAAATACAACAAATAAAGATATGTGGTCCAACTTAAGTTCCTTTAATTCGTTCAAAATGATGAAGTTGCATAAGTTCGAGTAGAGAGTAGATGGTCTCAACAACAATTTAATGGAGAATACTGATTATTAAATGGATGTCTATTTTCTTTTTAAAAAAATTGGATGTCAATTTAAGCGTGTGTCTATAAAGAGATATTACTTGCAATGATACAAATGATATTTTTGTATCTAATTAGTAACTACTCTGTATGAATTAAGTATTATTTCTATATAAAGCTGATTATTTGAGTGCTGAATAAACAATTTGAATTGAGAAAAAAAATCTGTAATATTATAAGGTATACGGAGTATTGTCTATTGCAATTCAATTTATTAGCAAAAATCTAATTCCAAATCAGTCTGAAAGAATTAGTTGAATAACTTCTAATTAAATAACTCTTCGTGTGTACACTTTCTCGAATTCCATTCTACTATATATAAAAAACAAATATTTAATACTCCCATTGGATAAAGATTTATTGTCTTATAAATGGACTTAATAATTTTGTATATGTTGACTAGCTTATTGTCTTAAACATAAGCTAGTCACTCGTAATTATTGTATAAAAGTATTGTCTTAGAAAGCTTGTCATAGAAAGCTTAATTAAGATTTTTTTTAAAATAAAATTAATTAAGCTAGTCACTCGAAATTATTTTATGAAGTATATTGTCTTAGAAAGCTTGTCAAAGAAAAGAAATCAAAATTAAGCTAGCGAGTCACATTTGACCGGAGCGAGTGATGACCAAACTTATGTCTTGTTGGTTTATATAAAGATCACAAATTCTTAATATATATTCCAAAGATCGCACACATTTTGTATTTGTATCAATTGTATGTGTATATATGCATCCCAATAACAAAGACTTATTATGTATATGAACAACAGAGACCTTCAATACCTTCAATGCTAGGTATGACAAACCTCTCTCAGTATCGCACAGCTATCATAAATGATAGGTATGGCATCTTTCAAATTTTAACTTTGCTGTTATTTAGTACGCAGTGCTTCACTGTTTTAAATAACTACAGTGATATGAATTATGTTTTCGTATAATTGTATTTTGTTCAATCAGTCCTTTCCTAATTAGTTTAGAGGTATATTTAATAATTTTGTTGGCTTTGTATTGCAGATGGGTCATTGCTAATATCATTTCATCAATGATTGGAGGCCTTCTGTACGGGTACTCATTGAGCTTCGTTGGTATGTATCCTTTAAAATTTCAAAGTTATAACAATAATTGGTCTATTATATGTTAATGGGGTTAATTAAGGTGTATGATATGCAATAAGGCCACTAACGTATTTCTAGGATAGAAGGTTAGATACTCCCAACTAAATTTTAGTCCAAAATCAGAATTTGAATGGCTTAATCGGCAATTAAGTCATTCAATAACAGTTTGTAATGGATACCATAACCTAATCCCTTACTCTGGCCAATTTTACTAAAAATGATACTTATAGATTACTAAGACATGACAAGTATCAGAAGGTCCAGAAAAAAAATACTAGTATTGCATAGCTCATAGCTGCCAGCCCAAGTGACTTGGAGAAGCTGAGGAGAGAAAGAAGTCAAGAACGGAAGAGAAGCGGGAAGCGAAGCCATAAAGTTGACCGCTGGACCGAGGGTTTCGACGGACTCCTGGTGCCTCTTTCCGTCGTTCACTGCCAGCCCGCCACGCACCCCGCCCCAGAGATAAGAAACTTTAAAAAAATTGAGAAGTTAACCTTGTCATCATCATTTTCATCATTTTCATTACCCCAGTGCCGCAAAGGCTCCCACCTACGGTGGGGTGAGGGGGGTCGGATGTACGCAGTTACCTGTACTAAAGTATAGAGAGACTTTTTCCGGATGACCCATAGTGAGAAGTTAACCGTGTCTATAAAAGAAACTATTTATAAATCCGTTATTTAAGACAATATGAACAACAAGATTAAACCTTGAAAATAATATTGAAATACCATATCAATGTAGTAATGATATGACTTCAAAATTTGTTGATAAGTGATAACTACAAGGATTGTGGACTTCGACAAATCCAGCACTTGGATTCCACACACAGGCATGATCGTGTCATCAACATCACAATTATTCAGGGTTGACGTCGCGGTTACACACAGAAGATATTCTACACTATAAATATCACCTTCTAACTTGTGGAAATGGATTATCATTTTCTACTCTCTAGCTTACCATTACTTTGCCAATTTTCATACTCAATCCATACTTAGTTATTTTCGGCCCTCTCTTTCTCGGTTTCCGCTACCTAGGGGCAGTGCAGCCATTGCACATGAAAATCGAATAGGAAGGCAAAAGAATGACAATTTTCTTAGGATTTCCTGGAATACATATTTTGAAAAGTCCTAATCCGGGTGAGTTAGGGTTGTTACAAAAAGAAACTCATTCAGAATTGCCTGTTCCAAATGACATTTATTTATTTATTTTGTTATTTATCTATTTATTTATTAGGGTAATTTTGTTCGGACTTCCCTATTAAAATATAGCAAAACCGGTTTAATCCGGTTCAAACCGGAACAATCCGGTTTTTAACCGGAACCGGACCAGAAACCGGATTTATAAAATTTGAAAACCGAAAACCGGACCGGATATCATCCGGTTCGGTTCCGATTTTTTTTGTCCGGTCCGATTTTCCGATTTGAACCAATTTATGAACACCCCTAGCTAGTCGCCGCTCCTTCTCTCCTCTGGCATTTGGCAATTACCAATTCAGATTTCAGAAAGCCACATTCCGAACAACTTTTTGTTTTAATTTTAATATTCAATGGAAATGCACCTTTCCGAACATCTTTTTTCTCCTAAACTCTATTTCATTTGAAATAGGGCCTTCTGAAATTCGTTTTTCATACCTAAAACTAATTCCCATCTTTTTGCATGAGTTTAAAAATTCCAGTAATTTTGGGAATAATTATCTATTTATGCCCTTTCAAATATCGTATCTTAATGACTCAATTATTCATTTATGAATATGTCATTCTCAATCAATTTGGACTTAATGTTATTACTTTTTTAGGGGGGTTGATAACTATGAAGACGTTTGTTCATGCTATATCACCAGAGTGGTTTGAGGCCTCTGAAAAGGCTAAAACCACGAACTTCTGCCCATACATCGACACCCCAATGGCTTTACTCTCGGTTATTATACCGTTTTCTCTTATGCTTGGTGTAGTTGTTGCAACTACAGTACACAGAACTTGGAGGCCACAAGTACTTATCGTTCTTGGCCTAATAATTATACTATCCGGTGTTAGTATGGTATGGGCTTTACCGAAGACAGTTGGTGCAATTATAGCACTATGTCTCATTGGATTCGGTAACGGTATGATCCGTGAGGTAATTCATTTATTTTGTATGTGTTTTAATTGGTTAGTTAAACAAGTGTGCATTTCATATTTTTAAATGTTTACATAACATAATTTCATTCAAATTTGCAGGTCATACCTATATATTATATTCAAAAGGGCCCCGAGCATTTCTCCACACTAATTGAGAATACATACAACTTTGCGAATGCTCTTGGTCCACCTGCTAGTTTAGTTGTATATTACTGTATACTAAGATATAGTTCAGATAAAAAATGGATTGTAGCTTTTAAGGTTATAGGTGTGTTTGCTCTACTTCTTTTTGTTTTTGTTTTAATTTCCCTAAAAAGTGTTCAGGAAAGGGAAATAATAGAATCTGATAGGCCCTTTCGTGAAATTGTAGGAAGATATAAAAGAACTAGTATATTTGTAGTGAGCTATGGCCTCATTCCCCAACTTATAGGGTTTGCGCCATTAGCTTTTTATGCGCCGTTAGTGTTTGAGTCATTAGGTTTACGGGATCGGGAACCCATATTGGCATCGATGGTAGCAGCCTTTTGTGTGTTCGGGTTCACAATTCTTGTGACATTCCTTCTCATTCCTTTTCTTGGACGAAGAAAGGTGCTAATTTGCTCTTGCCTAGTCATGAGTGCACAGGTATATATACTTCATCTTCTTGTAATTCTAATTTGTTATTCGATACATTAGCTCAAAATTTGCATATTTTTATAAACGTTTTATGACATATATACTACAGGCTGCTTTGTCTAAACTACTGCACTCACAGAAACATCACCCGGACAAACCTGGAAATGTGGTGGCAATTGTCATCATGCTTGTGACATGTGCAGGGTATGCCGGCTTTAGCGGATTTCATGGTTGGACTCGGCATGGTGCACCTAAACAAATTGATAGAGTGATGCGAGCAACCACGAACGTCATGAGCTTGAAACTCATGGTGTCATTAGCATCGATTGCCCCATTTATCATTTGTGCTTTTGCAAAGTCTACTTTCATTATAGGATGTGTTGTTTGTATTTTATATATAGTTGTAGTATATGTTTTTGTATATGACTGACATGAAATATATTTCTTCGATCTTCTACTATTTTATCCTCACAAGAATGTATGTATCTCACTTCTTATCTGATCTTCATATTGATCATATTTTTTTCAATCACCACCTTAAACTGAAACATGACGCAATTTCTCCATATTTGTAACCTCAATGTCACATTGTTTACTTAATTTTTTCTATTTTTTGGGTAAATCTCCACGAAATTTTTAATACAAAAAATTCATACTTTACTACTCAGTGATCAACATAAAGTTCAACTAAACTAAAAAATTTATAATCAATCATTGGATCTGCAAACTATACTCCCGAGTTCTAGGTAGTTATGAATATGCACGTACACACATCAACTTCATCACTAACTAGCTTGTAGTGGATCTTTTATAGTCATTTTCTTTTTGCATAACGGAGGCTAGCTTGTAAGTCCCTCATATAGTTATCCAAAAATTCCCATTCTTCTATATTAATTTAAAAGAAAGTTTAGATTGATCGAGTGCAGAAGTGCAGAACGGACTGACAAGTACCAATTTAAAATAATATTTATGAGCATACTTTTGGGGAAAAAATAAAATGTAGATGAAAAATAAATTATTCTTCACTAGTACGTTTTTAAGTGACCAATCAAACCAGATTCATATTTTCACCTTGCTGAAATTAAAAATAACTATATTGACGAAATATGACTGTTTTTTTTAGATGAGGCTGCGTGCATTGTAAAATCAAATTATTTCATAAAACAATTTATGATGCAGTTTACTTTGGCCGGTACTCGGTAGAATCGTATCTACATAGGCATAGGATCGGAAAGTAGGATTCTACGTAGTATTTAGTAATTGATTTCGAAGCGAGCCAAATATTACTATGTTCGAGCTCTCGATTAATTTTTCGAACTTAAAACTCAGCTCGAGTTCGAGTTCGAAAGGTCGTTAAGCTTGGCTCGCTAGGTTCGAAACCGAGCTCGAACTCGAATAGTTCGATAAAACTGAATAGACGTGGACATAAAGAAGCATTAAATGTCGGAGTTATGACTTATGAGATACGTTGGAAGAGTCCACCCATGATTAGATCTATTAAATGTATTAGTCATGTCTCCTAAAACTAGTGTAACTTGATGTCTATAACAAACACTTTAGAACATATTTTACCGTGCGATGCGGATCAACATTACGATAAATACCGCATTTCCAAGTGTCTAAACACATGTATATATACTTAACACGCAAATCTATGTAGAACGCAATTTCAATAGAAGGGTAAAATACACATAAGGATTACTTTAAAATTATCATCCTTGTCCCTTAAATTTGGTCAAGTTTGACTTACACGAGAATTAATAAAATAAAAATTGTGTAGTTGATGTTTATGCAGAGGAGAGAGAATTACATAGAACCAAGAATTCATTACTTAAAAAGGGAAGTGGTAAAATTAGTGGGACAACGACAAAAACAAAAGAAAAATTGACAAAGTTTTAAGGGGAAACTTTAAAAGGGTAACATTTTGTGGGAAAATTGTTAACCTCGAAGGGAGTATAATTTAACATTATCAACAATGTTTATAACAAACATTTAAAAAGGTAAAAGAAAACTTATTTAACCTCCCCAACTCTACCTGCATAAATATGAAGGAAACCCTATTCAACATCAACTTATCGCGGTTTATAAATATACAATATAATCACTACCATTAATTCATTACCTTTACCTCGCACACATAAATTTTTTAATTGCAATAGTTTCACTTTCATGTTTATCAGCGCACAACTTTGACTTTAATTATATTTAAGTATATATGAATAACTTTTATAAAAAGTTAATATTATGGAAGTTCGCATTAATAGAAATTTAATAATATTTTACACATAATAATTTGATTATATATTACTAGAAAATCATGATCAGAGTAAAGTGTGTGAATAGTGTAAAATTCAAAGTGTTGTAATTATAAAGAAAAGAGGATGACATGCTAATTAACAATCATGCTATAATTTTCCAGTTGGTATGGAAATTTCCAAAGTAATCAGATATTTGTAAGTCGGGTTTGGTCTGTTTAGTTGTGATCTACTCAAATATATTTATGTTCGATTAAGTCCTTTTAATTTTGGTCGAGATGAGACTAAAACAACTTTAAATGAAAACGTATTAATTGACGTCATATTTGTATCTATAAATTCTTTTAAGTTATTATTAAAAAAAACTCTAAGCAATTACATTCATAAAAAGTACCAAAAATCCCTATAAACCAATTATTACTTTTACACATACTTGAAAGTGTTGTTAAAATAACTTTAACATTTATTAAACACTACAGTCTAAAAGTATAAATGAATTTGGTATTAACTATATTACTCCATCCGTCCCGAAAAATTCTTCACATGTTATTTTGGTCCGAGTTTAAGAAAGTGAGAATAAAGTGGAAATGAATGATTGTGGTTGAATGACAAAAAGGTAAATGAATGTTATCCACACCATACTTTTCAAAAGGGAAATAGAAAGATTTTTTTGGAACATCCCAAAAACGTAAGTGAAAAGAATTTTAAGGGACGGAGGGAGTATATATCAACCACCTCTAGCTACCCCTTTTAAAATTGTTAACACATGTAATTAATTATAAATAAATAATAAAAAGAAAAGATTCAGATAAATTGTTACTAGCTATTTCATGTTCATCACTTCATTCAGCCTTTATATGCTAGAGAGTAACATATAAACATTTATTTTTTAAATACAATCAATTTAATCATTTCAACCTACTAATAGGAGGTCATTTAACAAACAACATAATTAATATGTTTTATAAAAATTCATATAAATTTAAAATACATAGGAACATAAATAGAAACAATAGTAAAAATATCGAAATAGATAAGTAATTTAAAAACATTCAAAAAATTAAAAAAAAAAGAATGAAAAAATTATATTAAATTAAAAAAATTAAAGTAAATTGTAAAGCTATTAAAAGATGTCGAACATACAACTAGTTCCAAAACACAGAAATATAGGGTCTATTTACTAACAGAGATATTTTCCGGTTTTCTACTTCTGTTTTTCTATCTCCAATTTTCTGTTTTTATTTTTCAGTTTTTCTATCTCCAATTTTCTGTTTCTATTTTTTAGTTTTCCATTTTCAAATCTGAAAACATGTTCATCAATTTTTTCACTCAGTTCTCCAATTCCACACCCTTGACCCCTACCTCCACCCTTACCACGATCTTATACTCTACCCATACTCCCCCACAACCCTTCATACCTACTCGTAGGGGTCGGGGTAGGGAAGTTATGGGTGGGGGTGGGGTAAGGGGTATGGTCGGGGTGGGGTGGTAAGGTCTAGGGTTATGGGGTTGGGTGGGGGTAGTGGGTGAGTTAGGGTCGTGGTTAGGGGTAAGGGTGGGGTAGTGGGTAGGGTCGGGGTAAGGTAGGGGTAGGGTAGGGAGTTGGGATAGGATGGCGGTAAGGGGTAGGGTGGGCGGTATGATGGCGGTAAGGATGGGGGTAGTGGTTAGTGGGTAGGGTTGGGGTAAGGTAGGGGTAGGGTAGGAAATTGGGATAGGATGGCGGTAGGGTGGGCCGGGGATCCGGGTGGGGTCGAGGTAGGGGAAGGGTAGGGTGGGGGGTAGGATGGTGGTGGGGGTAGGATGACGGTGGGGTGGGGCCGAGGTAGGGGCATGTGGTAAGGGGTAAGGGGTAATATACGGGTAGGGGTAGGGTAGGGTGGGTCGGGGTGGGGTCGAGGTGGTAGGGGCTGTCGGTAGGGTGGATCGGGGGTGGGGCCAAGGTATGGGCATGTGGTAGGGGATGGGGTAGGGTTATTATAGGGAAAAATGGGTACGCGGGGTGGGGTTGGGTGGGTAGGGAAGTGTAGGGGTAGGGTAGGGGTAAGGGGTAAGGTACGAGGATGGAGGTGTCGGAATAGAATCGATATCGGAGCGGGACCGGACCCACCACTAGGTGTAAGTATGCAAATTCATTGCAACGGCACTGTAGCATCTGTGTTTTCCAAATTTGGAAAACTAGTAAAAGTCACTTTCCGAATCATTAAGGAAAAGAGAGACATGTCTCATTTTTCCGTTTTGGAAAACGATTTGGTAAACGCGTTTTTCTTTTTCCCTTACTCCAATTTTCCAGCAATTTCTTTGGTAAACACGTTTTTTGTTTTCTGTTTTCCATTTTTCCAGTTTTCTGAAAAACTGGAAAATATCTCTGTAGTAAACAGGCCCATAGTTTTTGACATCATTACTATCTTTTCTAGCTATTTTGTAACAAAATTCTTTTCTAGCTATTTTGTAACAAAATTCTTAGTTTTTCAAAAAAAAACCTACATAAGAGGTCAAAAGAATGGTTAAAGTATATTTTAGGCTAAAGGGTCAAATAGGTACATGAACTAACTTAAAGTGTTCAATTAGCCCCTAATATAGGAGGTTCTGCCCGGCCATCGCCAATTGGGGTGGTTCCCTGTTGATTTTTTTGAGCATCTTCTTCATTAAGTCTAGTTTACTCATATCAAATTTCAGCTAAAAATTAAATCGGGAAGGCAGTCAAATGATTTTTCGAAATGTACTGCGTTGTTTAACTGCGCAGTTGTCTTCAAAAAATCATTTGACTGCCTTCCCGGTTGAATTCTTAGCTGAAATTTGGTATGGGTAAACTAGACTTAATGAAGAACATGCTAAAAAAATTTCATCAAAAAATTCCATCGGGAACCGCCCCAATTGGCGACGGCCAGACAGAACCTCCTATATAAGGGGCTAATTGAACACTTTAACTTTGTTCATGTACCTATTTGACCCTTTAGCCTATATTTTAAAAATAAACATACTTACATGGTATACTTTTTTTGTATACAAGCTTAAGTAATGAATCAGAAGTAATAGAAGAAACATTTGAACAATTTCCTAAATTTTCCTAATAAATAATGATAAATAAACAATAAAATTTTACATTATCCGGTCGTTTCTTCCTCACTCTTTTATAAGTTATTTACTTGGGGCTGATTAAAGTTTCTATGCTGCTGCTGCTGATTTCCTTGCCCATATTGCCCTTGCTGCTGTCCATAGGGCTGATTGTAGTAGCCCTATCGCTGATAATACATCGCATCCACTT